TTTCATTTTTATAGCAAAATTTAATGCAAGAACGTTGTTCAAGTTTTGAATCCATTGTAAAAATCGCCGCGACGTAAAAACTTGATGTAAAGAAATCACTGTCATAAAGGTAAATGAACAGCTGATAAGTAGAAGCTTGGCATGAGTGTCCGTAACAGTGCTGCCAACGTGACACAAACAACAGAATTCTAAACCGATAAGCCCGCGAAGTTTTTAAAAAAAACGAAATTAAAAATTCCGGTTATTTTTTGATCATGGTAGTACTTAATACGTCCAATAATGTACATTATTAAAACATACATATAATGTTCATGGATGTTTGGACTAAATAAGACCCAAATTTGGAAGTCTAATGGATGTTGTGTGCTGTCTAGGTATATATATATATGTTCGTTAATAGCTATTTAAAAGTATTTCTGATAATATACTAGAATTAAACATACTATAATAAAACATTGCTTAAACATTTTGGCGAAATATTGTTATGATATGTCTTTAGAACATCTTTGCAATATTACATTGCAACTTGCAATGTTGCAACGTTTCTGAAATATTACTAGAAGCTTTGGTGCTGTATGGGTGTATACATAGTATATTAGTGTGTAAGTACAATCTCTCACAAAAATTATGCGCTGTAATCCTAGGTATCTTAAACTTTTTGTATTGACGGTAGATTTTATTTTTGAATAAAACTGTCGCACGGGAACTACCTTAATGTTAATCAGATATATTAAACCGCTTTCAGTTGTATCTATCGATTTCTAATGTAATCTTTCTCTCGCGTGACAGAAGGCATTCTCTCAATATACTGTGAGAATTCTGACAGGTGACTCGTAAGTTGTGACACGGAGAAAGTGAAAAAGGCTATCTTCTCATGACTCTTCGACTATCTATACTACTGTACAACTGTCACATAAACATCATTGATATAAGATCAAGACTTAACATTTCACTTTTTTCCTATCAACTTTTTGTTTTTGCCTTCTTCTCTTTCGGTCTTTCGCGCAGAAGCGACAACGATATTATTGCCCTAGAAACAGCAGAAATCACTCAGCACTCAATTTCAACGACAATTTGACTTTTCTGTATTCAGACTAATACCACAAGCTACCGGCAGCATCAGAACTTGAGAATTTCTTGAAAAAGCTAGGGAAACTCTACTATGCGTCCTGTCTGTTGCTGTTTCATACATATACTGCGCGGAAATACATATACATATATATGTATGTATATGTATATATACACACACACACACAAACATATATATATATACATATATGTATAAAATTTTTGCATATTTGATGCTGCAGTAAAAAAAGAAATCAGAATATATATCTAGTAACTCTAGAATAAAAATAAGCCACATCAAAAGCTTAATTTATCAAGTAGTATTTACAATGTCAACAACAAATAAACTATACCAATAAAACTATTATATTGTTTTTTACTATAAAAAATCGCAAATACAATCTTTCTTTCTTATACCGTAAAAAAACTTAAAACAAAACTCTTGCAGTTGTGCCATATATTTTATAAAGATTAGTTATAATTAAGAGATGCAGTAGAAACAGAGAGAAAGAACAGAAAAAATAGGGCTAGAAGAGAAATGATTATAAAAATGAGAAGAGGAATATAGTATAGGAATACTATAGGAAAAGAAGAAAGAAATTAATTGGAGAGAGAGAAAATAACAGTAAAAAAAAAGAGATAGACGATAGAGAAGAAATAGAGAAAAAGTGATGGAAATATATTAATGATAAAATAGAGAAGACGTTGGATAAGATACAAGATTGAATGGAGAGAAAGGAGGAAGAGAGTAAAGACAATATTTGGAGAGGATTTTAACGCAAAGATAAAGGAGAAACGAGAGAAAATAAAAGGAGTAGAAAAGAAAGAAAAAAAAGAAAGAAGAAGATCGAAAGATAAGAAGATAAACGAGAAAAGAATATTACTAAATAGATTCGAGAATAGTCAATTAGAACAGAAGAACGTGTGTAATAATTTCAAAAAATCTTGAACCTCCGTCGAGTTTTGTTTATAAATAGCTTCCATCTTGCAAATCTGATCTCCGAAGTAACATTTGATGAATCGTTTGAGTTAATCTCTCTCAATGTTATATCTCTATTCATTAACATTCCAATTGATCTTGCAATCAGTAGATTGGAGAAAAGATGGCACTTGATAAAACACAATACGAGCTTATCTAAAGAAGAATTTTTTCTAGCTCTCAATCTCGTTTTTAACTCCACTTTCTTTTTTTTAATAACAAATACTATAAACAGACCTTTGGTGCACTTATGGGCTCTCTTCTCTCTCCGATTCTAGCAGACATTGTGATGCAGGATCTTGAATTGTCCACTATTAGTTCTCTATCTTTTATTCCACCTCTACATGTCAGATATGTTGATGACATAGCTCTTATGGTTCCTAGAGACCAGTTTGATGTTGTTTTAAATCTTTACAATTCATATCATTCTCGACTTCAATTCATCATAGAAGTTAGTTGTGATAGACTTAACTTTCTGGAGATTACACAAATATAATTATAAAAAATAATAATAGATTAATACATGACTGGTATCACAAGCCAAGGCAGATATGTTAATTACTTTTCAAACCATCCTATCTGCCAAAAAAGAGGCACGGTCATGGGCCTTGTGGACAGAGCCTTTTTTTTATCACATCCTAAATTCTATTTAAAGAATATTGACTTGATTTTTAATATTTTAATTTGTGATGCATCATATGTCGGACAGACTGGCAGAATGTTGCAAGCGAGAATCAAAGAACACAAAAACCATATTAATAGAAACTCCTTTCAAAGTATTACTGATCACAGAATCCAATACTCTCACGAATTTGAATGGGACAACGTAAAAATATTAGACAATGAGAGATCTTATAATAAACGTCTGATATCAAAAACTCTCTTCTCACATAAGAAGTCAAAGCCACGGTCTTAATTTACATAGCGACACCGAAAATCTGGACAAATCTTATTTACCTTTTGTCGATAACCCGTTGACTAAATGTGTCTTATGATCGTTGATTGTAGCCTTGATTTCTATTTAAATTGACACACACTTGTTCGGTGCTTTCAGTCGCTTTGTTACTCTGTAAAGTGATGGTCAAGTCTTGTTCCTACATCATGAACATTTAGTGCGACACACTCATGTAATGACTATTACTACTTTGTTTTGTAAGTTTCTTAATTACATTATTGTATAATCACTGCAAATTTTTATATTAAATTATTGTTTTGTAGAATATATTAATTTATTGTTTTGTAGAATATATTAATTTATTGTTTTGTAGAATATATTAATTTATTGTTTTGTAGAATTATATTGAAAAAGACTTAATCCAGAGGACAACAAAAACGTTTTACATATTGTTTTCAATAAAGTAATTCAACCAATATACACATCAGCATCCGTGGTTGCTTCAAACAGCCATTATCAACGTCTTTATATTTAAAAAAAAATATATATTCGCTTTTTCTTTACTAAACAATTCTTTTTTTGAAACAAAATTCTAAACTTACCTCTAAAATACTTTAAAATATGAATATCGAAAATATTAACCCTTCAGTGCATGCCCAGATATATGGGTTTCCAAGACCAACTCAAAAGTTTTAAAACAGTGTTTCTACGAAGTATTAGTTTAGCGCGATATCTGAAGGCCAGGAAAAAAAACTTTACAGCCTTAGACAATGGTAGAGATGTCATTAATAGCTTTGCGATGTTTGAAATGTAAAAAGAGTTTGAAAGACCCAAATCTGGACAAGACGTTGGCATTTCGAAAAGTAAATAAATTTTTTTTCAGTTTGAGCACTTTTAATATATTAAATAATTGTTGTGTTTTTCATACTTTTCTCAAAATATATGTACAATTATAGCACTTTCTTAGGTCATGACGTGCAGAAACCGTTCAAACGTTTCTTTGAAACTACTAAAGAATCTACTGCTTTAAAACTACTACTTTTTCAATTTGTTTTTTTTTTTTTTGATCGACACAGAATTGTTTAAATCTTCTATTTAACAAAGAATATGTCTAAATATTAATTTATTGCTAGAGGACTTCCGCTTCCGGTGCAGTATAGTGTAAGAGCAGTGTGAGAGTGTGCGTGAATTTGGAGTGAAATTGTGAGAGTGAACAGGAGAGGAGAGTGAAGGCGTTGCGGAGGGTAGTGGTGAGGGTGTGGAGAGCGGGTGAGAGTGAAGGGAGGTCGGGAAAAAATAGGATTTGTAGGGTAGAGGACGGTTTATTAGGGCGTACGGAGGGACGGTGACAGTTAGGCATAGAATAGAAGGAGTATAGAGAGGAAAGCAGATTAAAAGAAAAGTCACTAGAGTCGGGAGGCTAGGGATTTAAGGGTCACTCATAGACAGCAGGAGAGATAAGTGATTGGTCGAGGGGACGGGAAGTGGACGGGAAGTGGTGGTCTTTAGAAACTGGGAAGGACAGAGGAATGAACGGAAGGCTGAGAGGGGGGAAAAGGGAAATAGGAATAGAAGTGCTAGCGTGAGAAATATAGAGGACTTTATACTGAGGAAGAGGAAAAGAGATATAAAAGGGGAGGGGGAGAAGAGAGAGGAGGGAGCTTTTGCTGCAAATAAAAAGACGCAGAGATCGCCTAATGAGCAGAAGGACACAGAGACGGAGGTGAAAAAGGAGGGGAGTAAGGGAGGTGTGCTAGGATTGGAGAGGAAAGATTGGAAGGAAGAGATGAGGGCGTTTATGATGGAGATGAGGGAAGGGATGAGAGCGCTAAAAGAAGAGATAAAGGATGAGATAAAGGATCAGGGAAGAAGTATGAANGAGGAGGTAGAGGGACTGAGAAAGGACTTGAAGGAGAGCGAGAAGAGATGGGGTGAAGAGAGGGAGAGGTTGGAAAAGAGCATCAGAGAACTGGAAGGAAGGATGAGGGAGCTAGAATTAGGAGTGGAAAAAAGAGGGAAGAAGGGTGGGAAGGAGGAGGGAGGCGGAGGGAAAGGTGGGGAAAGGGAGATGATAGAAAGAATGAAGGAAATAGAGAAGAGATTAGAAAAAAAGGAGAGGAGGGAGAGGAAGAAGAACCTGTTAATAAGGGGGCTTGATGTAAAAGGAGAGAAAAGGAAGGAAGCCGTAGAGAAGATTTTTGAGAAGATAAGGGCCAAGGTGGAGGTGGAGGAGGTAAGAAAGATGGGAAAAAAAGAGGGGAAGATAGAGACAGTGTGGATGAGATTGAGGAGTGAAGAACAAAGGAGCGAGGTGTTGAGGAAAAAAAGCAAGTTGAAGGAAAATAAAGAAAGGATAATAGAGGATTGGACCTGGAGGGAAAGGAAGATGAGATGGAAGTTGGAAGAGATTGCAAGGAGGGAAATGGGAAAGGGTAGGAAAATAGGGTTAGGATATGGAACGATAAAAATCGATGAAAAATGGTGGAAATAGGACGAGGAGGAAGAGGTATTGACTGATGGAAGAGGAGCGTTAAGAGAAAAGAGCACGAGGGAAGGCATGGAAGGGTAGAGGAGGGGAAGGAGGTTTTGAAGAAGAGGGGAGAGGAGAGAGAAAGGCGGGGAATAGGGAAAGGAAAGGGTGCAATGAGGAAGGAAGGTAGAAGAGGAGAGGGGTGGAAATTGATGTTTTGGAATGTCGCAGGGGTGGGAAACAAGGATAGAGAGTGGTGGGATAGCTTGAAGAGATGGGATGTTCTGGTGCTTTGCGAGACTTGGTTGGAGATGAAGGATTGGGAAAGAATGAGGATTAGATTGCCAAGAGGCTACAGATGGGGGGTGCAGGGGGCAACGAGAGAAGGAAGAAAAGGTAGGGCAAAAGAAGGAATGATTATGGGGATGAGAGAGGAGCTGGTTAAAGAAGAGGAGATCAAAATAGAGGTGGGGAGAGAAGGGGCAATAATGGGTAAGATATGGGTGGGTAAGGAGAGATGGAGAGTGGTAGGAGTCTATGTGTACGAAGGAATAGAGAGGATGAGGAAAAAAAAAGATAGAAGAATGAACGGACAAGGGAGAAGGGGACTTTAGAGTGATAATTGGAGGAGATTTTAATGCAAGAGTAGGGACGGAGGGAGGTGGATTTGAGGGAAAAGAGGGGAAGAGAAAAGTAAGGAAAGCAAAGGATGGTCAATGCGAAAGGAAGAAAATTATTGGATTGGATAGAGGAGTACGGTTAGTGTATTGTTAATGAGTGTATAAGAGGGGATACAGAAAGGGAATACACTTTTACAGGGGGAAAGGGAAATACAAAAATAGATTTTGTGATAGGGGGGAGAAAACAAGAGGAAGGATTGAGAAGTTGAGGATAGGAGATAGAATCGACTCGGATCATCATCCGGTAGAGGTTTGGATGAGGGGAGGAAGAGGTAGAAAGGCAGGGAAAAGAGAAGGAAAGAAGGTTTGGAGAAGGATATGGGATGAGAAGGGGANAGTGCTGTTCAGGGAAAAGATGGGGACGCTGGAGGAATTTAAAGGAGAGTGGGAAGAGCAATGGAGCAGGATGAAGGAGGGATGAGGGGGGCGTTGAAAGAAGTTGAGGAGGAAAAGGGAAGGGAGATGAAAGAGAAGGGGCAAAAAGGATGGTAGAATAGTGAATGCTAAGAGGAGAAGAGGAAGGTAAAGAGATTGCTCAGGGAGTGGAGAAGAAATGGAGCAATGGAAATAGAATATAGAAAAGGAAAAAGGGAGTTTACAAAGCTTTGAGAGAGTAAAAAGAGGGAGGAGAGGAAGAGATGAGAAGAGAAAATCAGAAGGGCATGGAGGGAGAATGAAGTATGAGAGATAGTGAACAGGGAGAGAGGAGGAAGAAAGAGGGTAAACGAAAATATTGAGATGGAGGAATGGAAGGAGTATTTCATGAGACTGTTGGGAAGGGTAGAAGGGAAGGTGGTAAAAGGAAGAGGAGGAAGAGGATCGGAGGAAGAAGAGGAGAAGGACATTGAGAGAGAAGAGATAAAGAAGGCGATAGGTAAACTAAGAGATGGAAAGGCGAGTGGAGTGGACGGAATTCCGGGAGAAGTCTGGAAATACGGAGAGGAGAGGATAGAAAGCTAGGTGGAAGGACTATGCAAACAGGTGTGGAAGGGAGAATGGTGGCCGGAGGATTGGAAGGAGGGGATCATCGTGCCCATAGTAAAGAAAGGAGAGGGGCAGAGGGTGGAGGATTACAGAGGGGTTACATTGATGACGTCAGTATACAAAACGTATGTGTCAGTTCTGGCGGAAAGAGTTCGGGAGGATTTGGAGAAAAAAGGGATAATCCCACACAACCAGACGGGATTCAGGAAAGGTATGGGAACAATAGACAACATCTACGCATTGAACTACCTAGTAAACAGACAGATAGGGAAAAAAGGAGGAAAGCTGGTAGCCTTGTTCGTAGACCTGAAGGCAGCGTTCGACTCGGTGGATAGAGAAATGTTAGTGGGAGCAATGAGGGAAAGAGGATTGAGGGAGGGGTTAGTGAGGAGAGTAGAGCAGGTTTTTAGAGAGACAAAGTGCAGAGTGAGGGTGGGAGGAAAGGAAGGAGATTGTTTCTGGACGGCGAGGGGAGTGAGGCAGGAATGCTTCCTCAGCCCTTTGCTCTTCAATATCTTGATAGCGGACATGGAGGAAGAAATGAGGAAGGTGAGATGGGGTGGAGTGGTGTTAGGGGGGAAAAGAGTATACTCGCTAGCATACGCGGATGATATGGTGCTATTAGCGGAGAAAGAGGAGGAAATGAGGAGTATGTTGGAAAGGTTGGAAACGTATCTAGATAGGAAGAGAGTGGAATTGAATGTGGAGAAGACTAAAATGATGAGATTCAGGAAAGGAGGAGGGAGAGAAAAGAAGAGGGAGTGGAGATGGACAGGAAAGAAAATCGAGGAGGTCAATGAGTTCAGATACGTGGGATATGTGTTGAGAAAAAATGGAAAGCAGGAGGCGCAGGTGAGAGGAAGAAAAGCGGCAGCTGTGATGGGACAGGTATGGGGTATAGGGAACCGAAGATTTGGGAAGGATTGGGGAAGAAGGTTGTGGCTTTTTGACAGGTTGATCTGGACGGTGATGGGATATGAAGTAGAGATCTGAGGGTAGAAGGAGAGAGATGTACTGGAAAGAAAAGAGGAAAGGTATTTGAGGTGGTTGCTGGGAGTCGAGAGGAGAACGCCAGGGTATATGGTGAGGGAAGAACTTCATAGAGAGAAATTATGTATAAGAGCGGGGAGGAGAGCGTGGGAGTATGAAAGGAGATTAAAGGACGGGAAAGGTAGTGACATTGCGAGGATGTGCTGGGAGGAGATGAGAAATAGGGCAAAAAAAAGTGGTTTATCGAAGTGGGAGAAGGAAAGGTTGGAGTTCTTTGAAAGAAAAGGGATAGAAATAGAGGAGGTGGAAAAGAAGATAGAGGAAGTAGAGAAAGGAGTAGTGTGGAGTGGTGAATGGGAAAAGTGAGAAAGGAAGAGACAGGCGGAGGAGAGATGGAAGAGGATAGAGGGATCAAAGTACAATAGGTGGTATAGAGTGGTAAAAGGAGAGGGAGTACCAGGTTATTTGAAGAGAGGGTAGAATGAGAGGAGATGGACGAGAGTAGCAAGGTTCAGGCTCGGAAATGAGGTGGAGGAGAGGAAATACTGGGAAGGAGAGGAGGACAAATTGTGCAGGTTATGTGGAGGAGAGGTGGAAACCTGGGAGCATGTCTGGGAGAGATGTAGGCGTTGGAGAGACAAGGAAGAGAGCTGGCAGGAGGCAGTAGGTTGGGTTTTGGGGGAGAACGGTGAGGGAGAGGAATGGATGAAGGAGCTGGAAAAAGAGAAAAAGGGAAGATTGGGAGGGGAAAGTTTGGACAAATAGGGGGTGGGGGTTGGAGTAGTTGAGGGGGGAAGGTGAAAGAGAGAGGGGGGGTTTGACGGAGAGAGAGTGAATGAGAGTGTATGGATGGTCAGGAATGAATGAAAGAGATGTAAGGAGGTGAAGAGGTGAGACATGTAGAAAAGGCGAGAGGAAGCAGAAGCCCGAAGGGGGGAGCGTGTGTGTGTGTGGGTCGAGATGAGGAGATGGTGTGAACATTCACGCGGTCTTGCCATCCCGGCAGGGTAAATTAAGTTAGAATTAAGTTAGATATAAGTAGCAATAAGGAAAGCGTTTGTAAAAATTTTGGGTACGTTTCTTTAAAAAACGCCTTGTAAACCCGGTTAGCTGGGATGCAATAAATGTTACTACTACTACTACTACTATTAATTTATTGCTAAAATATTGCATGTCAAAGTTGAGCGCTAAAAAATCCATTCTTCAACCCAAAAGACCCATTGTGAAAAACCCATTGGTTTTAATTTAAAAATTGTTAAAAAACAATATTGTTCTTGAAAGTACAAACAATTTCTTAATCAAAACTGCGTTAAAATTTTGTAAAAATTTTACTATACAAATATTATGAGGTTTTAAACAAAAAGCCTTTTTTCCAAAACCCAAATTGTTAGGATTTTCTTTAAACGCTTATATTTTTGAAACTATTGGAGATATTTTCAATGTCTTTTTTTATGAATGCAGAATTGTTCAAACTTTCAGTTCAAAAAAAAAGAAAAAAAAATTAAACAAATATTGAATTTTTGCGGAGATATTCGAACTTAAAGTCACGTGGATCTCACAGACCTAGTCTGGACAACTCGTAGTTCATTTTTTATGTCTGGCATTGAAAGGTTATAAACACATAGATAATATAAAACTCAATTTTTACAATAAAATCAGTTTTGTTTTGCAATGTTATGCGTGTCTTGAATCACGATATACATATAGTATATACATATACATGGTGTCTGAAAAATTTTGACACAGCCGAAGTGTGAAGGTAGATTGGATTAATTTAAACCGATAAGTCACGTTATATTTTGCAAAATTTGCAATAGATATTGAGAGTAATTAATACATGTGATCCAATAAGCGCGTGGGAAGCAGTGGTCCGGACTCAGTAAGCGTATATAATTTTTAGTTGTGAAAATCCACAGTTAGCAAGCTCACATAATAATGACGTCAGTTTTTACTCTGCAAAACGTCAATTATGATATAAAAATGACGTGATTTTAACGTACACCGTGATTATGTCACATCTTATTGATGTTATTATATTACGTCAAGTAGACGTGAATATAATAAAAAAAAGACTCAGCACAATGACATGTTAAAGACGTTATTGTAAATTTAAAAGAAAAATAAAATACAACACGTAAAAACAATAGTATCAACATCCCACATAGCACGTAATATTACTGCATCACAGTAATATGGGTGATACTCTATTGACCACAGTACGATTTGACAC